GTACTGGAAGGAATGTATACTTGAAGTTCTTAGAAGAGAAATTTTTTTTTTGAAATCTCAATATGCATGCATATGCAGATATATTTTTAAATATGACTGACAACATAACTCAAATAAAATAAATAAGAAACAGAGGAAAATATGGAACAGAAATAAATACACCAAAAATAGGGTACCCTTGCATTGATTATCCTTCTGTGTTTGTTGTTTAATATAAAGAACTATACGTATTTTATGAACTATTTCTTAACTGTCACCAAAGTTAGAGTAATGGTCTGGGAAGGAAGGACTATTTGTTCTCAACACACATGCCTATGCAGATGCAGATATATTTTTAAATATGGCTGACAACATAGTTCAAATAAAATTTATGAGCACTAAATATTGAAATATAACCAAACTCACTGCTGGTGAGGCAGATCGGACTCACGGCGACCCTTCTTTGGGTTTCTGAGGTGATGTCACTATGGAAGTAGATTGCCTGATCTTCCTTCTGAGCAGTGGCTGGTGGGTTTGAACCGCCAATCTTCTGGTTAGCAGTCAATGCCTTAGGCACTATGCCATAATTACTACAAATTGTTGTTGTTAAATAGGACTTGTTTATCGTAGCTTGAGAAAAGTAACGTATTATTTATTGTCAGTATCTACAGTTATATTGAGAAATTAGATGTTCTGGTTAAGAGCTAATGCAAGTAATCTTATAAAAGCACCACATTTCTTACCTTTTTTACCTTCTTTACAAAAGTCAGTGTTTAATGACTCATTGCTTGTTGGAAATGAATAGGATAGTAACAGTGGAACAGGACAGACCCTGCACACAACAATATGGAGGACACGCTTGTATTGTAAGTTTTTGGGATTCTTGGTTGAAAATTAAATCAGAATCTCAACTCTCAAAAAAAAAAAAAAAGTTTCTTTATCTTACAGCTATGGGTTATCTGCTTTTACAAAATCAAAAACAAAACAATAAGCCCCAGCTTATGTGTTTAAATCCTGAACAGCACTGTTAACATTTAGGAAGACAAGCCGGTTGGGGCCCTATCATCTTTGGAGCAGTGTAACGGCGTGCATACACGTCTCGTCTTGAAAAGCTGAGAGATACAAGCTATCCATTCCCCTCGTTCAAATTACCAAATGGACTCTGAAATCTCGCGAGCCTTCGGTTCAATTCAGTGCCCGAGGCTGGATAGCTCTCGCTTTTATGCCGAGCTCAGAGGGCCACAGCGGCAGATGACAGGCACACGGTTCGTTTCTTTCCAAGGGTCGCTCCCATCCCAGAGTTCTCGGAAAGCACTGCTTATTCGCCTCATTCTTCCTTTCATATTTTAATAATTTAAAACCCAATTATTATTGCCAAGATATTACAGGCAATTTTACATCCCATTACCCTTGCTTTGTTTTAATTATAGAGACCCTTTGTTGGCTTCCTTTGAAGGGCCCCTTGCCATCTCCGCCTGTTCCGGGGAGCGCCTGGGTGCGGCAGCACATTCATCAACGCTTTCTGTCCTGTTAATTGTAGACAAGCGCACAATCGCCTTCTCCGCCATGATTGATGAATTGTATTCACAAGCGGGGCTGTTAAGTAGGATAAACATTTATAACAATTTCCACTTAAAGATTTTTATCTTCACTCCCACAAGGGCACATTGAAGACTGATAGCCCAACGATGGAGAGAAAACGGCACGTTTCATTTCATTCCAAACATTAGGAGGAAAGTCGCGGATGACACACAGGGGCGCAAGGCACAGTCTGGGCCCAGGTGCCCGGACTCGCTCCCCTACTGCACATGTCGCCCGTCGCCACACCAAAGCTCCCAGCCGCCCGCCCAGAGCTGGTTTCCGCCCGGCCCCAGACGCAGGCCTGTGCGGCGCGTGCATGGGGCGCTTCCGCAGGTGCTGCGGTTCCAGTGCCTACAGACTGGAAACACCTGTCCCGCCCCGCAGCCCGCGCGTGCGCGTCAGGGTCGCTCCAGCCTCGCGCTCAGGACCGCAGGGCCTCCAGTTACCGCAGCCATCTCCGGGCTCAGCACTCCTACTTCCGGAACCGGAAGACACTGCAGATGGCCTGCTTCCTGCAGCCTGGAGGCCACCAGCCGCCCGTGACACCATCCTCCTCACAGGCGCACTGAAACCCTGGCTAGGCGCGAACCCCTGAAATCCATTTGCCCCCCTGCACATCTTTCTCAGTGCAACACTGACCACGTCACTTCTGTGCCTGCTACCGTTAGATGCTGTCCAGCCGGCTCCAACTCGGGGACCCCACCTACGACAGGACAAGACGCCACCGGTCCTGGGCCAGCCCCACAGCCCTGCCAGGCTCGAGCCTCTCCCAGCAGCCACTGTGCCAAGCCATGTTGTTGAGGGTCTCCCCGTTTGTTGCTGACCCTGTACTTTACTAAGCATGACGACCTCCTGCAGAGACTGGTCCCTTCTGACAACATGCCCAAAGTACGTGAGGCGAAGTCTGACCAGTCTCACTTCCAAGGCGCGTTGTGGCTGCACTTCTTCCAGGACAGATGTGTCCTGTGCCTAAGCGACAAACCCCTGCCGTGGTCTTCACGCTGACTCATACTGACCCCTCAAGTCAGAGTGGAACTGCCCCAGAGGGTTTCCAAGGCTGTCAGTCTTACCGAAGCCGACTGCCTCCTTTTTGCCTCGTGGAGCAGATGGTGGGTTTGAACAGCTCCTTTCGGTTAGCATCCGAATGCTTCGACCACTGCTCCGCGCGAGTGCCTGTCCCGGTGCCTGTAACTGTTCAGCCACTCGCCATATTGCCATATGTCCCACCACTGACCAGCCCTCTGTGGCCAGGCCTTTCGGTTAGCATCCGAATGCTCGGACCACTGCTCCGCGTGAGCGCAGGTCCCCGTGCCTGTCCCTGTGCAGCTACTCGCCATATGCCACAGCGCTGAGCAGCCCTCTGTGGCCTGGCCTTGCTAACAGGGCCCTTCTTCCCCGGGGCCGGCAGGCGACACACACTTGAATAGACGTCTCCCGAGTTACACAGCTCTCCAACGACCTGTCTTGCTCCCTCCGGCCTCCCGCCCCGGGGGTTCTCCTGTTGCCTCGGCTCTTGACTGTCTTCCTCTTTTAGTCATTTCCCACCTGGCTCTCTCCGGTCTTCTCTGGGTTTTCATCTAAGGTGACACTGTCCTTGGGCGCATGGGCCTATAATCAACCCTCAACAACTTTCCTCAACGGCTCAGATCCGTGTCTGTCTCATCCTTGTCTCCACTCCCAGCTCCAATGAGAGGGTTTGGTCTACACTGGGTGCTGGTGGGGTGTCTGCTACGTCCACACAGACACAGTTTCTTCTTGTAGATTCACAGGTGTTCATGTTCAAATAGTTTCTTTTCCAAAATCTTCTTTTCTTAGAGGAATGACCGGCACGCGTGGAGGCGTAAATTAAGGACGGCGCAAGGAGCACTGTGGTGAGCATCTGGAGGTTTTCACGAAAGAAGCCCCAAATGGACTGTGTAGGTGCACCTTACAGAGTGTATACCACCATCGCCGCTCCCCACCCAGGGCCAAACGAGCCCGACTGCCCCCCGACCAATACCATGGTCCCAGAAGCTGGACCTCACCATCAGGGAACCCCCGCGTTCTGTCCGAGCCTATAACTGTGTGCACGACATTAATGACGGGCCGGAGGTCCCATTTGGTTACCTCTGACGAGTGTTACTGGAACCCAGACATTTTATTTTTAACTTCACATTTGAGTCAATTGGCAGATTAGCTTATTTCTAAAACCAGTATGAGAACAAAAAAGCCTAATACATTTTTAAAATCTATTTTATCTCCTGAAGATGCATAAAAATGATGACCAATTTCAACACAATGAAATTGTGTAAACTAGTGAATGCTATTATGATGTAAAATCATTTGTGTTATAAAAGAAACTGATCTTTTCTGAATCTTTTGTTGCATGGTAAATGCAACCTGTATTTTATATTTTAGGCCTGTATTATTATGACTGAAAAATAAGAAAAGAACTAGGTCACAGAATATCAAAACAAGAGATATAAAGTAAGATGCACTGTTGTAAAGACAGAGACTACCTCCCAGAAAATATGACCCTGATGGGAAACGAACGGTGATACTAACCTACGTTTAAGTTAATTGTGAAAAAGCGAGGTCTCATAGCACTGATGAACTGACTTTCAAGGAATAGCTGGTAAAATATTCTTTTCACAGCTTTCCTTGATAAAGACAAGTTTTATAGAGGGGTAACACTTTTTTTTCCTTGTCAAGTTAATGAAATCTGGTTGCAAATAAGAAATAAACAGATTATACCAAATATTCAGTCATTATTTTCTAAAGAATGCGCTAGCCTTAATAGAAACTCCACTTGTATGGGATTTGGGTCTTTGGCCGATAGACCCGTATCAACAAGGCCACAGTGACATGTGCTTCCGTGCAGCCACTGCTAATAGGGCACCAGGACAGTCCTAGGGACGCTGGCTTATCTCAGAGCCATGAGGAAATGGGGCGCTCACTCACAGTTCTCTTAGTGGCAGCGTTTTTAACTACGGCATCTATAAATTCCTGCTCAAGTTATACCTTCTGTATTTAATACTCTTTCCACATTCAGCTGGACAAGGGAGCTGGCAGTGTGTTCGGATCAAGCTCCTTGCTGTGAGTGAGGCTGGACTGGGCAGCGAACAGTGGGCAGCGCTCGGCAAGCAGATGGGGCGGCAGATGGGGCGGCAGCCTGGGCTCGGCCGATCTGTGTCAGGCCACCGTTGGGCCCTGTCGGGTGCACCTCAAGGCCCCAACACCTTCCTCTGCTACGCTGCTTGTTTTCCCTCCCCTCCGAAAAACATGCCGCCCACTGTAAACTCTGCTAACGTCAAGTTGAAGCCCCTGGGTGGTTAAACACTATGAACTAATTGAAAGGTCTCTTTCTTACACATCTTTGGAACAGATGGCAGCGAAGAAGGGTCACCTGCCGGAAGAAAATGTATGCCGATCAGTTGTCCAAAAATCGTAAAATGAATTACCTTCCTTCATTGATGAGCTCGATAAACGCAAGTCCTGCGTTCTTCTGGATCGAGTTCTGCCATTCCTAGAGGGAGAGACAGAGCAACGTGAGAAAAACACATCGGGGGGCAGCAGGTCTGCTTCGGGGGGCTGGGATGTTGTCAGGAACTCCACACGGCCTCATTTCAAACTCCCTTCTCTAAGAGTTTCTAACCAATGCTATTTTGCTAGCAATAAAGTCGCCCTTTCTCATTCTGTTTAGAAGATGCCTTGGGATTCCCGGGGGATTGCGGACTCAGTGCAGACAGCGATGGGAAGGGAGGTCACAGAGCCGCCTGCCAACAGAGACCCAGGGCCCGGCGCAGGCTGTGCAGGGGTGAGGCCACATGGGACAAAACGGGGTAGTCCGTAGCCTCACGATACTTCTCGGAGATTGGAAACGGAGGGTTAGAAACCTCAACTCGTGAGACCGCTTTGGAAATGAGATGTTCTGTGTTCTGGCTTTCTTAATGATTGAAAGTTACAGAAGAAATGTTACATACACATAGTCGTGAAATGTGTTTTTTTTAACAAAACCACCTTAATGTTCACACTGCCATCTGTCTGGTCAGTGATCTGCATGGGCTGTTCTGCCCCAGGGCGGCCTTGATGGCCAACAAACGCTCTGGGGGGGGTCAGGAGGGCAGGCCGCCCGCCTGTCGTCTTCTGGGCACGTCACAAGGTGCTTTAAAGTCTTCTTTTCCTCTTTTCATTACTGGCTTCTTCGAGCGCCTCCAGCCTTTTGATTTTGAATACGGCTGGTCAGGAGCAGTTTTGAGCTTGGAATTCACACCCCTTCCCCGTCCTGCAGACACGCGACCTCCGGGCATGTCTGAAAGCCGCGCGGGCCAAGCTCGCCACCCATCTGAGCTTCCTCAGAAGACAGAGCTGGGCGCTGGCCGCGCAGAGGCGGCAAGCTGCCGGCCCACGAGGTCACGCCCAAGCCAACAGCCCCAGCCCCTCACCGCACCAGGCCCCGACGCATCTCCTGTGGTGGCCTGCGCGCCTGCTGGGAATGAAGGCGTCCCCTGTGGAGAATCCCAGGGGAACCAACCACGAATTGACACACATCGTCCCAGGAGAGCGCGCCAACCAGGAAGACAAAGGGCACCGGGGGCCCAGGGACAGCGACGGGGACAGCTACATGGACAATGTGGGGGCGGTGATGAGGACAGTGGGGGGACAGCGATGGGGACAATGACAGGGACAGTAATGGAGACAGTGAGGACAATGATGGGGACAGCACTGGGGACAGTGTGGGGGAAAGTGACGGGGACAGTGATGGGGACAGTGTGGGGGAAGTGATAGGATGGTCATGAGGAGAGCACTGGGGACAGTGTGGGGTAAAGTGATGGGGACAGTGACGGACACAGTGAGGAGGACAGTGATGAGACAACGATGAACCTATAATGGGCTAAATAGTTAATTAGCAAAGTCACTGGGTTCTGTCTATCATAATCCTTAACTAAAATTTATCCAAATGACGAGATGCTGTTCCACTGTATGGTGTTTATTTAGACTTTGAAATCAATTCTGTTGAAAACAATTACAGGGAAGCCCTCTGCTGCATTTTCACAAATGACTAAACATCGTGTCTTAGACATTTGGAGGAGCTCTGGTGGTGTAGTGCCTAAGGCACTTGACTGCTAACCAGAAGGCTGGCGGTTCAAACCCACCAGCCACTCCTCGGAAGGAAGGTTGGGCAATCTACTTCTGTAGTGATAGCGCCTTGGAAACCCAAGGAGGTGTCACTATGAGTCGGATCCAACTTGATGGCAGTGCGTTTGTTTTTTACTTTTTTATTTTTGGCTTAGACATTTGGTACCTTCCCATTCTAAATTCTAACTATTGAAAACCAAGATCCCTTCAAACATGAACCTTTCTCAACACCTGACACATACTGTCATGTGAGCTTAAGGAGAAAACATCTCTCATATAATGGGAACTAAGGAGAAAACGATCTTGTCATATAACGTGAACTAAGGAGAAAACGTCTCTCATGTAACGGGAACTAAGGAGAAAACGTCTCTCACGTAACGGGAACTAAGGAGAAAATGAACTCTCATGTAATGGGAACTAAGGAGAAAACGGTCTCTCATGTAATGGGAACTAAGGAGAAAACGGTCTCTCATGTAACAGGAACTGAGGAGAAAACGTCTCTCATGTAATGGGAACTGAGGAGAAAATGGACTCTCATGTAAC